TAATAGTTTTGTCAACTGGTTTTCCAGTTGGTGTCTGGACATTATTCTAGCCCTGGAAATGTATGATGAGTGTGACACCGTGCCTCTTCAGTCTTGTCATCCCTGCCTTAAGTGGTCAATGCCAGGTCACCTTAGCTAATGCATAGGGTGCTGGTCTAGTGGCAAGGTAGGTTAAGCACAAGACCTCTGATTGCAAGATGGGTGATTCAGACCCACCGATTGCATTGCAGGGCAAGGGTGAAGCGCTCTGCTCCTGTAAAGATTCAGCCTCAGAAACCACAAAGGGCACATGTACTCTCTCCGGAGATGGTCACTGTGAATCCGAATCAACTCAGTGCCAGTGAGTTTGGTTTGCGTTTGGTTAATGCATGGGACATCAATTTCTGTGGGTTCTGTTTTATTGTTGAGGACTTCCATTTTTTTCTAAATGCATACTTTACACATTCCTATTAACGGAGGTGTGCAGCGGTCTCTTCCAAGCTTGAGCTGTGCCACAGCAGCAAAAGGCAGTCCTAACCCTTGTCCTCGGGAGGCAGCTCTTTTCCAGCCGTGTCGTGAGTGTCTCATGTAAAAGATAGTTAGCATACTTGAACAGATGCAAGATACAGAGTATGATGTGTGTGTGTGTGTGTGTGTGTGTGTGTGTGTGTGTGTGTGTGTTTTCAGGTCTTAGCTGAAAATTTGTGGAGCTCTCTCCAAAGAACATGTAAGCAATAAGATGAACAATGTAAATGGCTAAATCTATAGCACAGGGGACACGAGTAAAATAAAATTATTGCCAAAATTAGGTGAAAATGGAAGTGTGATGTAATGGCCTATGAAAAACTGGACTCTTTATGAGAGCAGAAAGCCTCATCTTTCTCCCAGAGGAGCCAGTGGTTTTGAACTGATGCAGTTAGCAGCCCAATGTATAATCCACTATACCAGGGCTCATAAATGTCTTCTAGACTTAGTAAAATTAAAGCGAAAAATGTAACACCTAAACTCCTCACTGGCCAAAGAAAAAAGATCCAGTAGCTTGATTCATTGTGTCCTGATGATGAAAGCTTTGGGGCGGAGCGGCATTTTTCTTGTAAAAAAAATAATAAGTGATAGCTATTTGGAAATCTTTCTAAGAGTGATTTTCAGTTTGAAAGTGGTGATGGTTAGGATTATTGTGCCAACCTGGCCAATAAACAAGTGGGGTCAATAAGGTTGCAGTTTAATTGAAGGGCAAAGAGATAAATGGCTCAGCGAGCCTTGCCTTTCTGTCTTGTGCTCTCTCATGATCGGCCCAGTGTGCTAGTTCTCTGCCTCAACTTGCAAGCTACACTACCTGTGGGACACCCAACTCGTGGACCGTGTCACTATAGTTTGAGGTTCTCTGATACCTGCTTCGCCACACTGCTGGTGTATGTATCACTTGAGCTGGGGACTGTCGGACCCTGTCATCTGGCTGAACTTTGGTGACCAGCCCTGCTGTTTGCTGCCTGTGGCCGGACTGCTTGTATGCTCTACAGAAGACTCGTCTGTCTGCTTCCTTGACTTATACCAAGCAGTCCTTGTGAGTTGAAGGACAGCTAGTGTATTAACTGCCTCACGGAACTGAGTTGAACTGAGCCATTTGTACTGCTCTGTGGACTAATTAGCTGTTTATTTCTTATGTTGTATCTATCTATCTATATAGAATCATAAGTGTCCTGGTTTTGTTTCTCTAGAGAACCCTAACACAGAAAGCAAACAGAATTTTTGATGAAATGGAATTATTTGGAAATGGGAATGACTCTCATAGCCGGACACTGTATAAAATTGTATCTTCAAAGCACAATTACGAAAACTGAGTTAATTTCAGATTTCAAAGCAGAACATTCAGTAAGCTTCAGTCATTTGGACAGTAGTCAATGTTTTATTTAGTACGATGTATGAAACCTTGAGCTTTCTGTGGGCTCCTTTCCAGGTCACAGATAGAAAGCCCTGTTTGCTTGTACAAATGATCCTTGTAAGACTCTATCCTTCGCTTCTACTTGAAAAGGGGGCTGGATCTTCTTGTTCAAATCTGATAATGGAGCTAATGTATTGTTTTCAAATTTTACTAGCAGGAAAAAAATGACTGGATCTGTTTTTATATCAGTTTTTGCCATTTTGAAGAGCAAGAAAATAAAAAGAGGAAGACACATCAAACAGATGTTTTTTAAAGAACTGAGAAAGTTGGCCTCGAAAGGTGTCTTTTAAATGGAAATAACTGGTCTGAAGTTTTCACTAGACATTTACATGGGAAGGAAAAAAGAAATCACAATTCCTGGCATTTCTTGAGCATGGCAACATCCTAGGCTCAGTGCAAAGTGCTTTTGTTTGTCCCGTTGGCCCTCTGCCTACACACGTTCCACATCCACCAGTCCGACCAACCCCAACTGTGGTCCGAAAATTCTCATTTAGAAAAGGCTCCTGAAAGCCATGACAGTAGTCCCAACCATCCCTCCAAGGTGAAGAGGGAGCAAGGTGTTATTTACATAGCATGCATATTCCATTGGGCATTAGAAGTAATTGAGAAATGGCTTAAAGTATACAGGAAGCTATGTGTAAGCTATATGCAAATACTATGCCATCTTCTATAATGGACTCAAGCATTTGAAGATTTTGGTCCTGGAACCAGCCCCCTGCAGATACCACGGGGTGGCTTTCTTAATCCTCTCAACAACTCAAGGAGATTCATACCAGCATCGTTGCCCCCATTTTAGATTGGGGGAAACAGACACGGGGCAGCTAAGTACCCTGCTTTCGACGGCACAACTAGGTCGTGCTGGAGCTGTGATTCCCACAAAACCGTGCATTGTGACTCGAGTCCACAAGCTCGGCGCTAAACCCGCACAGCTTTTGTGTGTGTATTGTTAGGTGCTGTTGAATCAGTTCCAACGGGTACAGACCCTGTGTGCGACAGACCCCAACCACCTGGCCCTGTGCCAGCCTCACACCTGTTGTCACGCCCGTGAGCCCATCGTTGCACTCACTGGGCCAGGTCTTCCTCTTTTCACTGCCCTTCCACATCCCCAAGCATGATGCCCCTTTCCAGGGACTGGTCCCCGCCTCACATGTCCGAAGCACATGAGAGGAAGTCTGACCATCCCTGCTTCTTTATATTGAAGTGCACCAACCACAGGGACTGTGTTTGCCAGTATCCCTGTGGCCTGTGTATCTCAGATTTCTTTTGCATCGCTATGGTTTTGTTTTCCTTCAGATGTTCCATTTCACCTTAATTATCCTAGAAATTTTCTTTAGTAGGCTTGTACTCAAGTCCTCATGTAAAATATTTTTAAGTGAAAGCTGTCCTGGGTTCTGTGTTAAATGGTGACATCTTAATCACTTACAGTCATGAGGTTTGTTTTTTTTTTTTAAGTCATGAGGTTTTTAACCAAGAATTAAAAGAACCTTGAATGCGTATAAAAGGTGAGTGTAAATTTGCAAAACGCCTGGTTCCACCTTCACCCAGCCACCTACCTCACCACACAAAACCAAGAACACAACCTAAGGGGTGCGGGGTGAAGATGAACATTTAATTGTTATCTCGGCCCAAAGAATTTGGACAAGTTTCCTGTTGACATTTAAATTTTTTCCTTAATATTTACTTGACTTTATTTATAGCCTTGCCCCCTCAAAATGAAATCTATTCCACTCTTTTTAAAAGACCAGCCAAAACCTTTCATTAAAAAGCAGAGTGTATAAAGTAGTTCTTGCTGATAATGGTATGATTTGGAATCATTTCCAGAGAGTTCTGTGCCAGATGTGTGCAGGTAGAAGCCTTTAGGCCTGCACTGCCCACTCCATAGCTACCAGGCGTGTTGCTACTTAGATCCCTGTTGGATAAAAGTTTAAAAAAAAAAAAGTCCCTTGGCGTTCTAGACCACGTTTGAGGTGTTCAGTAGCCACAGTATTAGACAGCTCAGATGACCATTTCCATCATCACCAAAGACTGAAGGAACATGGAATCTGAAGCGGGATGCCTGAGAATCAAGCTCTAGAGTGGACTGATTCTTGTGGGAATGGTTTCACCTCTCCAAGCCCATGGGCAAATTGGGAACCACAATACTGTTTACCACAGGCCAAGGTTAGTTAAGATTGAGTGAGATAAACACAGATGCTGCTGGGTCCTCTGAAGTTTAAGAATGTGGTTTAGCCAAGAAGTTAAATGTTTCTCAAATCTCACTGCTTGGAGGCAATCTCCTCTGTGGGCTGATTCCAACTCTATGATAATCTTAGTGTTCATACCAAGAATTTTAACTGAACAAAATCATGAAAGCTAGACATACCAGCTCTTGAACCGGTTCCTACGCTACATCCTCCACAAGGTGTTGTCCCATATTTTCTTTATAGCTGTTGCCTTGGGTCGGCAAACTGGGGCTCATTTAGTACATCTAAGGGGCTCTGAAGTAAAACTGGGGGAAAAAATCTAAAGGATATTATTCAGATAATGGTGATTATGTTTGTAAAAATATATTCGTGGCTCTCAAATTTTTAAATTGTGAGGGATAGCATTAACACGACCATCTCAAGTTCGCTGACCTGCTAGAGCTGCCATTTGTGTGTGTGAGTGAATTGCTCTGATCTCAGCACATTGCCGAGTTTCTATTAAAAGTCGTCCCTACGTGCATTCTTCTAATGAAAAAGGCAGTCTTGAAAAAGAAAGACAAAGAAAGTGGTGCCTTTGCCCCAGAAATAAAGGGGGCCAGAAAGGCATTCATCCAAGTTCATGGTGCAGGAATGAAGGCGCCGGGTTCCCGTGGCTTGCAGCAGCTTCCCAGCTGCAGAGTGGTGACTGGCGAAGCGGAAGTACCGGCGCACCGATTTCCCCACCTCTTTCCGTCGGCGTCACGTCCAGTCAGTTTTTCCTGCAAAGCAAAGCGATTCTTTCGCAGCAGCTGCACTTGCAGAGCCGGCCTGCGCCGCATTTCTCCTTTCCACCCCGGGATGGCGCGTCGCCCGTGTGCCCCACCGCTCACCGCCGCCTTCCCTTCTGTCTCCCGCAGGTGTCCGCGAGCCCTGGATGCCTTTGACATTATGACCGCAGAGGACGCCGCAGCAGCCATGAGCGACTCGGCCGCCGTGTCCCCGGCCAAGGTGCCCGAGGGCGTGGCGGGTGCGCCCAACGAGGCGGCGCTGCTGGCGCTGATGGAGCGCACGGGCTACAGCATGGTGCAGGAGAACGGGCAGCGCAAGTACGGCGGCCCGCCGCCCGGCTGGGACGGGCCGCACCCGCAGCGCGGCTGCGAGGTCTTCGTGGGCAAGATCCCGCGCGACGTGTACGAGGACGAGCTGGTGCCCGTGTTCGAGACCGTGGGCCGCATCTACGAGCTGCGCCTCATGATGGACTTCGACGGCAAGAACCGCGGCTACGCCTTCGTCATGTACTGCCACAAGCACGAAGCCAAGCGCGCCGTGCGCGAGCTCAACAACTACGAGATCCGCCCGGGCCGCCTGCTCGGCGTGTGCTGCAGCGTGGACAACTGCCGGCTCTTCATCGGCGGCATCCCCAAGATGAAGAAGCGCGAGGAGATCCTGGAGGAGATCGCCAAGGTCACCGAGGGCGTGCTCGACGTGATCGTCTACGCCAGCGCGGCGGACAAGATGAAGAACCGCGGCTTCGCCTTCGTGGAGTACGAGAGCCACCGCGCTGCGGCCATGGCGCGCCGCAAGCTCATGCCGGGCCGCATCCAGCTCTGGGGCCACCAGATCGCCGTGGACTGGGCCGAGCCCGAGATCGACGTGGACGAGGACGTGATGGAGACGGTGAAGATCCTTTACGTGCGGAACCTGATGATCGAGACCACCGAGGACACCATCAAGAAGAGCTTCGGCCAATTCAACCCGGGCTGCGTGGAGCGCGTCAAGAAGATCCGCGACTACGCCTTCGTGCACTTCACCAGCCGCGAGGACGCCGTGCACGCCATGAACAACCTCAATGGCACCGAGCTGGAGGGCTCTTGCCTGGAGGTGACGCTGGCCAAGCCCGTGGACAAGGAGCAATACTCCCGCTACCAGAAGGCAGCCAAGGGCGGCGGCGGAGGCGGCGTGGCCGAGGCAGGGGTGCAGCCCCCCAGCTACGTGTACTCCTGCGATCCCTACGCGCTGGCCTACTACGGCTACCCTTACAACGCGCTCATCGGGCCCAACAGGGAGTACTTCGTGAAAGGTTAGTGGGGCCCTGGGCCAGCGAGGTTCTCCGAGGCAGGCGGCCCGAGGGATGTTACAGCATTGAGCTCATGCATTAAGCATGCCAAAGCCCCTCCCTTGGGCCCCTGGGCTCCCTCCAATGCCCACCTGTGAGGGGTGGCATTTAGAGAAATACTGAGCAGCGTCCTCCCTTGGGCCCCTGTGCGCCCTCCAATGCCCACCTGTGAAGGGTGGCATTTAGAGAAATAAATACTGAGCAGCGTACCTTTCTAAAGGCTGAGCGGTAAAATCCTCCAGGTATATGCAAACTCTTCTTGCCTCCCTTCACCACCCCTTCCTCCCTCTCCCCAGGACCTACCTGATTTGGGGCTAGCCTGCAAATCTCTTGGTACTTTTGATTATAAAACCTGCTTTGGAAAATTAAGTCTTTAAAATGTCGAAGGTGGAGGGCAATGTCTGTGGTTGTTTGGTGAGAAGAACAGTGGCTAGGGTAGGGTGATGGAGCCCTCGTGGCCTAGGGGGTTTGGAGTTGGGCCGCTGACCTCAAGTTGAGCAGTTCTAACCCACCAGCAGCTCCTCTGAAAAAAGAAGAGGCTTTCCACTCCCGAAAAGATGTACAGCCTCAGAAACCCACAAGGGACAGTTCTACTCTGCCCTCAGATGGCTAGGAGTCTAGGTGGGAGGATGTCCTGACAGGAAGGATCACAGTGGAAAGCAGCATACAGAGGTGCTGGGTTCTGCCTTTAGTCGTGTCCCTGTCACCTGGACGTGCTTCCTCCAGCATAAAATGCAGAAGGTGGAGTCACGGGTTCCCATCTAACTGCTGTAGTCTGAAATGTTTTCCTCTGCTGAAGTTAGAATTACAGCCACCCTCCCCCACCCCCCAAGGTCACCGTTCACACTGAGCGCATGAGGTCCCTTCCCCCCAGCTCCTGGGAGGTCAGTTGTAGCCCCTGCAACTTGGACTCAGGCAAACCACTAAAAAACTCCAGGAACCTTGAGTTGAGCTCTGCCTCCTGTACTGTCACTGTGGGTCGCTCATCATTTTTTGTGTTGTTATTATAAGCAGGCAGCATAAGAGGCCGAGGGCGAGGTGCAGCTGGCAACAGAGCCCCAGGGCCCAGGGGTTCTTACCTCGGGGGATATTCTGCTGGCCGTGGTATCTATAGCCGATATCATGAAGGGAAAGGAAAGCAGCAAGAAAAAGGATATGAGCTCGTACCAAATTTGGAGCTCTCTGCCGTCAATCCCGTTGCCATTAAGCCTGGTGCAGGTCAGTATAAACCAGAAGGAGGGTGCATCTGTCCAGCCTCAACCCCCCACCTTCTCTCTGCAGCCAGTCCAAGCCTTCCTTGGGCACGTGGGTTCCTCTTGCCATGGGCTTTCAGAGACTAGACAGTAAAGGGGCACCACCTGGACGGTCCACCTGGAACTTAAGGAGGATTGGTCCAGTTCGAACGATGCGGATGTCAAGCTTTCTAGGAGTTTACCTAGTGAGCCACCCTTTGTCAGGTTTGCTCCTCTGTGACTGAGTTAGGCAAGGTTGATGGGGGTTGGGGGATTGAAGAATAGACAGTTTTCCTTGTTGATACTGTAGAACAGATTCTGACACATAGTGACAGAGTTGACCTGCCCCCACAGACTTCGAAGTTGTAATCTTTTAAGGGAGCAGATCGCCAGGTGTTTCTCCTTGGCTTTGAACCTTAGCAGCGAGCATGCAACCACTTGCCCCACCAAGGCTCCTCAGCCTTTCCTTACTTGGGCCTGCTTCTAACTCATGTATCTTCTTGCCCTTTGTGCAGTGTTGGGAAAGGAGCAGATCACATGAGTTGTGATATTAGCCAGTGAAAAGGCTTGGGAGTGAGGTAGTGGAGGGATCGTGATTTCTGTTGCAGGGCTGCAGATACGGGATTGAAGCTGTGGGCCCTTCTACCACCTGGCCACCGCAATTAGTTTCCTATGTCGTGGGTGCCCATGTAAATCAGGAAATGTGCCAGGAATAGAACTGAGCTCCACGAATGGGTCCAGCACAGACTGGGTACACACACACACACACACTCACATGTACGTCTGAGCACACAGACCAGTGGGTCAGTGGGTAGTTGGAGTTACAGACCTCCACCCATCTTCCTGGTTGCCCCAACGATAGATTGAAGAGCTTTCTGAACCAACTCTCGCCTCAAAGCTCAGCTAGCCTGCTCTTCTTCTGGTTGAGGGGTACACACTTCTTTGGCTAGAATAGACGCCCTGGTGATGGAGTGGTTAAGACTTGGGCTGCTAATCACAAGGTTGGCAGTTCAAAACCACTGGCCAGAAAGGTGAGGCTTTCCATGCTCATAAAGAGTTAGTCTCAAAAGGTGTTCCAACTCCAGAATGCAAACTCGCTGTCATCGGGTCCAGTCCGACTCATAGAAACGAGGCAGAGACCCTGCCACTTGGAGCACAGGTTTGCATTGGCCTCCTAAGGCTCGTAGGCACCGTCTTACTGCCACTTCCTTGAAGAAGAATCCAGCAAAAATATTTCCTCCCTCTGGAATTCTTTCTGTTAAAGTGACTCCATAAACTGGCTTTTCAGTATCAGCGCCTCTGGCAGTCTAAGCAATGGGAATGTGATTCCTGCCTTTTTGTAAATCCAGTCGGGAGATGGGAGTCGGGAGTCGTAACTTTGATTTGCTGGGAAAGACTCCGATTGGCAAATTGCTACGGCTTAAGGTTTAACTAGAGGAAAAACAATACTATTGGACAATCTTTAGCCAGGTGAAGTCCTGCCCTGGGGCCTTGAGGGAGAAATTCCAATGGGCAGGTAGCCAGAACCATCCAGAGTTTACTTAGTACCACCCTCTATAGCTAAAGTCCCTAACACCACCACTCTTGGCAGGTAGTTCTAATCACCCAGAACATCCGACCAGGATCTATTAGGAGAAGACAGCAGGACATGTCATGAAGTGTGTACAGCACAAAACCCATGGGATTTCTTGTAGGAAGGCCAGCAGAAGCTTTAGTTGCGATTTTTTATTGAATGGCTGCTCCGTGTTTATAGTCATTTGTCTCTTAGCTTAGATCAAGTCTGTTGTGATTAGGTGAGCGCTGCCCGCAGTTTGGAGAGAACGTAACTGGAAGAATTTGGGGGGGTCTACATTTCATCTTCTTGCTTCTCTGTTCAACACAAGCACTAGACTGCAAATGCCCCCCAATCCGGGAGACTATCATCTTTTTTTCCCTGCTCTTTCTCTCTACCATACATTGACTTTGACTTTGACTTTGAATGACTGCTATCTGCTCCAATCTCGGGTTGAAATCGATCCTCTGGACATTCCTCTTGGAGACATCTTTGAATTGGCAACTCCGCCCCCAAACCTCTCCCACCGCTTCCCTGGTAAACATAGGCATCAGGAAATTGGGCACTTTTTCATTTTCAATGCTGTATTTTGTACCAGTAAGTTTGAAATCTGGCCTGGAGGTGGGGAGAAAAGCTGGAAGGTATACACAAACCTCCATCCTTCTCATTGAGGCACCTTCAGCAGCACCTGTTTCTGCAAAAGGGGCTGAAAGAGAAAATGCAACCCGGTGGAGTGGGGGGACTCAGGGAGAAGAGGCGGGCTCGCTGTCCTACTTATGGACCCTCATGCCCCTGACCAGACTTAAAAATTAGCCTGTTGTACTTGGTCAAACATTTGATTAATCCGCCCCTAACATGATGGCTAATGAGCTCTGGTGAAGTGATGGTTACCCTTTGGGCTGCTAACCACAAGGTCTGCGGTTTGAAAGCCCCGGCCGAGGAGCTGTCTACACCCATAAAGAAAGAGTAGTTGCAGCCTCAGGAACTCACAGGGACGGTTGCACCCTGTTCCAGGCCACTCGAGTCAGCATCTGCTCGATGGCAGTGAGCTTTGGTTTTTAATGCGATGGCTGGAACTGCATCTATTTGGTGAGGCACATGATATTAGCGGATATTGATGATTCTGCAGGCCTTACACAGATCTCTGGTGGCCGACCACAGGATCAGCAGTTCAAAGTCCCCCGGCGTTCCGCAGGAAAAAAGATGGGGCTTTCTACTCCCAGAAAAAGTGATAGTCGCAGAAACTCACGGGGACAGTTCTACCCTGTCCTATAGGGCTGCTACGAGTCAGCATCGACTGGATGACAGCGAGTTTGGTTTGGGTTTTAAGACATGATCCAAGGGCCAGTCATTCCCCAGCCCTGTTCCAGGACACCTTACCCCACCCCCCTCTCATGCTGCTCTAATGGGTGACTCCACACCCAGGTGGTTCCTCTTAAAAATCAGAGCAAGTTCCCATGCTCCCTCTCCTCCAAGCCTGCTGTGGGTAGCACCCGGTTACGAGGCTTGTACACGCAGTATTTAATTACGTGGAGAGGCGATGGCCTTGGTCGCTGGCTGACCTGGTTTTGTTTGGCTGTGTTCCCTCTCGCTGCTCTCCCAGTGGCCATCCCTGCCATCGGAGCCCAGTATTCGATGTTCCAGGCCGCTCCTGCGCCAAAAATGATGGAGGATGGCAAAATCCATACCATGGAGCACATGATCAGCCCAATCGCCGTGCAGCCCGACCCAGCGGCTGCCGCCGCTGCTGCTGCTGCCGCCGCCGCTGCCGCTGTCATTCCTACTGTGTCAACGCCACCACCTTTCCAGGTAAGGCTCCTGCCACCTCCCGTGGCACCGTTGATGTATGAGGTGCATCCTCTGCTTGGCCTAGTCACTAAGCGTTCAGCAACGTGTGTGTGCCCAGAGGTCGGCAAGAACTGAAGTGTGTTGGGCTTTTTAAAACAATAAGAGCACGACAGAAGAGCGAGAACATCTTCAATATTGCCACTACCTTAGGACCCCTGTGATGCAATGGCTTACGCATTGGGTTGCTAACCCCAAGGTCAGCAGTTTGAAACCACAAGTTGCTCCTTCGGGGAAAGGCATGGCTTCCGACTCCCAGAAAGAGTTCCTGTCTCCAAAACCTACAGGGACAGTATGGATATACCCTGACCTATAGGGTCGCTATGAGTGAGAAACGACTCCAAGCAGTGAGTTTGTTTTTTCAATTTTTTAGTCACTGTGTTAAAGTGGGGGAGTAATATGCAAAAACAGCATGTAGGTGTTCACAGTGTTGTGATATTATACCCACCTTTTAAAAATAGATAACTACTGGATCATAGTCAGGAACCTTCGTGGCACAGTGGGTTCCCCCAAGGCCAGGGGTTCAAACCCACTAACTGCTCCCTGGGAGGAAGATGAGGCAGTTTGTGCCCATGAAGACTGACAGTTTCCGAGATGCTGCAGAGCAGTCCTACTCTGTCCTATAGGGCCGCCAGGAGTTGGAATAGAGTCTGCCACGATAGGGGACCTAGGCGGTATCAGTGGTTTGTACTCAGTTTAACTGGAAGACGAGTAGTTCAGACCCACCCAATGGCACCTTGGAAGAAAAGCCCGACAGTCTACCTCCATACATTACAGCCAGAAAAACCCTACGGAGTTCTCCTGTGTGGCACATAGAGTCGCAAGAATCGTACTGTATGAGCCGAGTTTTTCAGCACATTTTAAATGCAGTTTTTGTGGTAAAATTAGGTGCCTCGGCTGATATTCGGGCCAGCTTATATTGGAGTATATATGGTAATTGACTAGATGGTGGTGACGGTGTTTTCATTGATTCTTCTCATCGTTCAAGGTCCATGTACAAAGCCCAGGGATATAATTTACTCTTCCAGTTACATCTCCACCTCTTAGACACATCGTTAGTTGTGTGTGTACATGGAGGCTTAAACATTTGGTGGGAAAAAATCCATTATCTTTTAATCCCATTTTGAAGCAAGCTATCCATCTCTTCCCAAGCTAGGCTTACCATTATATTATGGCTCCCTTCCCGTTCTTGCTCATCACCTTCTGTTCATCTGCAGTTCTCCAGTCCCAGCTTGTCCTCGGAATCTCTCGTCCCCTGAGACGGGCATCCTCGCTCCTGTACTTCTCATCACCTCTGTGATTGGCACCTGGTCCTTCTCCTATGCTCACCCCCTGGTTCAACCGAAGCTCCTGCACATCCAGGCCCCTCCTTTATATCTGCCTATGTCCTCAGTGCATAGGAGTCGAAACCCAAGCCAAACTAACCCCCTTGTTGAGTTGATTTCCCATCATACTGACCCCACGGGACAGATGAGAGCTGCCCCGTACAGTTTCCAAGGCTGAAGATCATCATGGATGCTGACCACTGGGGGGTTCAAACCACCAACCTTGTAGTGAGCAGCTGAGCACCTCATCTTTGCACATGCGGGCTCCTTGGCCATGGTAGAGAGAGGTTCAAGCAGCACCTGGTTTTATCTGCCTGATTTTTGTCTCTTGAGTGGTATTGTAATTAGGATAGAGCATAGAGCTTAGGACAGTCATTTATTAGTAGTAGTTGCATGTCCCTGGTACGATAGTAGGGGTACAGTGTCTTTTTTACTTAGTATTTATACTTCTAAAGTCATATGGGTAGGTTAAGGCAACTAACTAGAGCACCCAGAACTCTTTTATGTTTTTGTATCTGTTTTATCTTCCACCTGCCCCAGGCAGTTTATGTGCACAGGCAACCTGAGCACAGGTAGTGGGCTGTAGCATGTGAGAAAGGTTCTTTCAGAGACCACCATCCTGCGATTTCCTCCCTGTGTGTCATCAGACACCTGTATCATAATGTCCCACACTTGCATATGTTCCTATGCTTGGAGGGGTCTTTGAGTAGCACCAACAATTTGTCTTTATCTGTTAGCCAAGACCCCTGGTGGCATAATGATCATGGGTTGGGCTGCTAACCGCAAGATCAGCAGTTCTTCCCCCCACTCCATGGGAACAAGACTAGACTTTCGATCCTATAAAGAGTCTCAAAGCTCATAGGGGCAGTACTGCCCTGTCCAATAGGGTGCCATGATTTGGCATCGACTTGATGGTTGTGAGTTTGGTTTTTTGATGAACCTGAAGGTTGACAGCTCAGATCTACCTGGCAGTGCCACAGAAGGGGGGCCTGGTGGTCTACTTTTGTAAACAGTCAAGAAAACTCCATGGAGTAGTTCTGCGTTGTAGCACGCCGGGCTGCCGTGAGTTGGAATCATCTCAAAGGCGGGAAAAGGTTGCCTATGTCTTCTGTCTTCCAGCTTCTCCTCCTGGCTGTCCCAGCTGCCGATGCGCTCTGTGATGCATAGTGTTGTAGGAAACGCAGTACCAGGCTTCCATTCCTTAGGAGCTGTGTCACCCTCTGCCACCGCTGTACCTGTGTGACCCTCTCCATAGCCTCGTGGTACTGCCCTCACTGGTGGTTCGGCCGATTCAGTAATATCATCGAAGCAAGTGTCTGTCAGACAGTAAGCTCTCAGTTATGAGTAGTCCTGTCATTGTTATTTTGATTACAGTTAGACAGTAGTCTTTAGGCCAGTGTTCCCCAAAGCGAGTGATGCTGCCCCCTGGGGGGTGGGGCACAATGACAATGCCAGGGTGGGGTGTAGCTAGCTGCAGAAGCAGATACCTACACTTTATCCTGGATTATGGGCTATAGTACAAAAGTTTCACACTGCCAGGGGGCCACTGAATAATTTTTTTTCTCCTGATAAGGGCGCGGAAGGCCAAGTAAGTTTGGGAACCTATGCTATAATCTTCATTGAAGCAGGTACTCTTCTTTGTCCCTGGGAGTGGCTGGTGATTTTGAACTGTTAACCTTGTTACCAGCAATCCCACCACTTAGTTAACAGCTCCAAGAGGGCTCATTCAAGTCCTGGAAGAATGAATTATTTCCATCTGGATTCTCTCTCCATTTAGATATACTGAGCTGTGTATTTTGAAGCTTCATTTACTCTAGAATCTTCTGTGGCATGCAAGGCGCACCAGATAGTGTGTTACATGTATGTCATTGACCGAAAATACCCTGTGCCGCAAAGCAGCTCGCTGAACTTGCTTCTCGGCAGACACGGGAAACGCCGAACCACCATAGTCTTCCCGCCCCTGCTCATGTTTGTTCTGAAGACAGAACCTTGAGTGTGGGGGAAGGGAGGAAGCGGCACGGATTTCCACAGAGCTCCTGGCGGCCACCCGAGCATTATGCCACTTCTCCATCCTCTGCTCTTCTTGTCCTCTGAAACCCCGCTCTCATGCCCCCACGCGTGGGACCCTCTTTCTGGCCCAGCAAGCGAGTGGGTTCCTTCTATGACTTTCCGCAGTGACTCGTGTATCGGGCCTTTACTCCATCAGGAGCGCTGGAGGCAGAGTGAGTTAGACACTGCACTCTACCCTCGGGAGAAAGACGAGATTCTCTGCCCCCATCAAGATTTACAGCCTCAGAAACCCACGGAGGCAGCTCGACCCTGCCTACTTGGGTCGCTCTGGGTCGGAATGAACTCCGTGACAATGGGTGTTTGGGCCTTTAAAAACTTAACAGTGGAGATGGTTTGAACAGTCACACGGGTCCCCACCCAAAAACAAAAAAAAGTATGTTATTAGCAAGCGCCTCACAGCACTGCCCCTCTCAGTTGTTAGGTGCCATCCAGTCACATGCGACCCATAGCAACCCTAGGCACTACAGAACAGGAGCCTGCACCAGCCTGCGCCATCTCACAATTGTTCCTCGGCGTGAGCCCATTGTTGGAGCCGCCGTGTTAATCCATTTCATCGAGGATTCCTCTCTCCACTGGTCCTTCTCCAAGATTGGTCTCTCCTGACGACATGTCCAGAGTACGTGAGACAAAGTCTCCCCTTCCTTGCCTCTGAGGAACACTGGCCATACTGGTGCCGCTAAGTTAGCACTGCCCACTTGGCTCCCCCCCACCCCCCCCACTTTGAAGCAGGTCCTGGTTCCTGCCATGACCTGTGTGTTGAGGGACTGTGTCCATCCCTGTGAGATCCACAGAGCAGTAGGTTCTCGAGCAGAATGCCGGGGAGAAGATTCCAGAGCTTGTCAGTGCTCCCTCGGTCCCAGTCCTCACCTTCATCAAGGGGCCTTATCATTGGATTCAACTAAGTTGAATGTCTTGAAGATAACAATTTCTCACAACCCTTTACTGCGTTGGGGACCTCGGGTCCTTGGTCAAACCCTCCCCTTCCATGCAGACCCTCAGGTCCGGCTCCTAGCCAGCACACCTCTCATGCAGCCATGTTCATGGTGGCTTGCAGTTCGCTCTGATGCCGAACAGGTTTTGGCATAGCCCCCAGGCCCAGGGCTGGGCTGCCAAGAACAGGCTGGCCACCCACTTACAAAACACAAGCCAGTGGGGAAAGCCCCACGCCTTATAGCAGTCTGATCCGAGGCTGTCCTGAAGCAGCCGCCGACGGCACAGCCGGCTGCCTGCTCGCCCATCAGAAGCCGGTGTTTGTGCTGTTAGCGCCGTACCTTGTGGAAGGATGGTTAATGTGCCTGATGAACATGCATTCACTAAGGAACCTTCATCTCTCTCTTTCTCGCTTCAGGGCCGCCCCATAACTCCAGTGTACACGGTGGCCCCAAACGTCCAGAGAATTCCCACGGCCGGGATCTACGGTGCCAGTTATGTCCCATTTGCTGCTGCCCCGGCCACAGCCACCATCGCCACACTACAGAAGAACGCGGCGGCCACCGCGGCCGTCTACGGAGGCTACGCGGGCTACATACCTCAGGCTTTTCCCGCTGCTGCGATTCAGGTTCCCATTCACGACGTCTACCAGACATACTGAGCCTGGTGCCCAGGGCGAGGACAAGCCACCACTGAAGGAATGCTTTACTATTTATGAAGAAAGATAGAAGAGCCTGCTGGATCAGCACGCCGCCGAAACCTGCTGAAAGTGAAGAATGTGATCAGATGTCCTACTGAGATAGATGTTTTATATACATGAAGTTTTTGCTTTTTTCTTTTTGGTTTTTGTTTTTAAAGACCGTTTGAAAAGTAGCAGGCCTGTGTTCATACATTTCTAAGAGACTTGCGTGGTTTGTGCCTTAAATACCATCTCTTTAAAAAAAAAGTTTGTAGACTGTAGTAGGTTTATATAGAAGTTTGCTATTGTTTCGAGGATATATTTTCAGTATGAAGGTTATTTTCTTAAACTTCTGCACTCCAGAGATTTCTATTTTGTAGTACCTTGGATAATATATCAACTTTATATGAAAAAGCACACTTGAGGAGCTAGGGAACTACTCTTGCGAAATACATTCCATATTTAAAGATGTAAACCAATAGTGCTTTAAAACAACTACATAGAGAGTTATTTTAAAAGTTATACTGGAAAGTGCAATTTTGAAAAGGAGTCTGAAACTGCATTTCTGCTGGCATTAAGGGTGGATGGGGGTAACCACTGGGCACTGGTTGTTCACAGTGGTTCTTTTTGTTTTAAAAAACGTCAACACTCAATCTCTCCTTACGTCAAGATGGGAAGAAAAAGACTTGTCAGATCCTCTGAGTTCAAACACTGGAAGACCCTTGCCTGCCACCACTCCCCTGGGCCCCCTGCTGTTTGTCCTTGCAGCTTGTCCTCCGTCACCCCTTGAGCCAACTCTGATGTTTGACAAGCCTAGGAAGGTTGAAATAGTCTGATAACAGAAAAAAAGCGATGACTTTGATACTTATTCCTGGGGTTTTGGTTGGGGTGTTGCGGGTTTTTGTTTCATTTTGTTTCGGGTTTTTGTTTCATTGTGTTTTTCGGTTAGCGAGGAATTCTCTGCTACGTGTGCTGCTGTCAATAGCAGCGTGCGTGTAAGCACAGGGCTTGACTAGCTGCCACCTGACGACTCTGCTAAGCTATTTCATGGTCTGATAGGAGGAGACTTTGCCTATATGTTGTTTCTAAAATATGAGTTGTAGGGACAGTGAATGTATGTTGTATTCAAGATCTCCCCCCAGAAAAAAGACTTGTTGGCAGAACCAGAACGTTGGGCTGATAGTTGCCTAAGCAGTTATGTCTCTGGGCCTTCCTGCTGCTGGCAACATTATGTCTCTCTGAGCCGGGCTGGTCTCTGTTGATGTGCACCTGACAGGTGTGCCGCCCAAAGGGAGGAGGTGAAGGGTCGTTTGTAAATACCTTTCCCATGCTGCATTTTTTGTTTTTCTGTTAAGGGCGTTCAAAGCCTGTAGTTCAACACAAATATCATGAAACCATTTTCTTTGCTGTCTTTTTTTTTTAAAGATTAAAAAAAAGCTTTGTTTTATTAGGAAGTCAATGTGCAGCAGTGTGTCGAAGCCTGTTTTAGAGGCTTGTGTTCAGCGACGTGAACGTAAAATACAGTAACACGTTAAAAGTGGCCATCTACTTTCAGAAACGCAACCTCTTTTTGTTTATTTTAAAGGCTCTGTCAAGGAAATGAGTTGTGCAGTAGGCAGTGACTACAACTGTGTTTGATGTCTGAGATCACCCGTCTTTTTGTTTTGGGAGGGCTGATGGCTGCAATTCTTATTTGTGGATCACTAAGAGGGTCATGCCCTTAGCCAATATTTTAGTTTTGTTTTACAATTTAAATTAAGAGATACCCAAATGTCTTACCACTCCCACCCCGCCCGCCCATCTTGGGGTGGGATAAATTTTTATATATATATATATAAGTATATATATAAGCAATATTTATGTAACTGTTTTATAAGATGTATTGAGTGCCTTTAAACATTCCTTGCCCTCATTCTTCAACGTAAAGCAATCACGTGCTATGTCTCCAGGCGCTGCCTCTACGCTCAGCTGAGTTGGAATGAGTCACCCAACAGAATGCATGCAGACCCGCCCTCCCAGGGGGCTGACCACAGACACGAGAGCCCAGCCCGCTCTGCTTACTGTATTTTACATGTGCTTGTCAACTCTTTGCCAAAAAAAAAAGGAGAAATAGGTGGGGGTGGGGGGTGACTCAGAAGTAACATGGCATCTACCTTAGAGACAAACGATGTCGGGGACATAGCCAGTTACGTGTCGATCGGTGAGCCTCCCACTTGGTTCTGCCTGCTCCTATTGATTCAGGACCATTTCACATACACACTACGGAGGTAAGTTCATAACTTGAAATGTGAACCTTTGTTTTTTTTTAGGGTTAAGAACAAACTTTAAATCAAGACAAGTTGTCGTGTTCTGTTTTCCAACAAGCTCATAGTTCTTATCTTTTACATGCTTTGTGTTGGAAGAGCTTTTACGTTCATTTTGGCCTTGCCTCCATCTACAGCGCATTCTTAGGATGTAGTCAATAAAGCATTCTTTAAAGCATTCGCGAGGCCTCGTTTTTGTCCTCCTTTGGGTTTGGGTGGATGTTTACAGGGCATATTTCTTGTGAAGCCCATTAAGTGTCTTTGAGGTGGCTTGCAGCCCCTCCGGAACAACGCCCTCCCCCTCCCTCCCTGGGCTCCTTTCCATCCGTTCTGCTTCCTGCTCTGTACTCATGTGGTTGGTCGCACCAAGAAGTCCAGTGCTCCCTGCTGTCTGCCTAGTGTTTGGCTGAATGGTGATCTCAGAGAGTGGGTTTCATTTTAAGCTTACGGGGTTTCCAAGGGCCTGAGTCTTGGAGAGGTGGGGGATGAGGGTCCCACCTGTCTCAGATCATGAAGTCTGGTCAAGACCCTATTTTAAGTTTTCCTGTGTTCATTTTCTTTTCTAACCACACGAGGAGACCCAGAATGGAGAGGACTGACCCAGTGTATTTAGTAGTAGAATCTGACCAGTGACCGCTAGGTCTTGGGAATCGCCACTGGGGATTGGGTACTTGGGTACCTCGTTGGAATGATAAATTGCACTCTCGATAAACCTTTCCGTTCAGATCCCACCCCTGTTCAGCATCCCGATTGGGTGCATCTCATGTACCTGGGGGCTGCTCTCCTCGACGCTGGGCGGAGGTAGTGGTGTGGCCTTGATGGTCTTGGGGAAGTGCTGGATGGCGGTGACGTTGGTCACTCCCTCTGAAACCCACCTGAGCTGCCGGTTTCTCCTGTCCACGGAGCATAGCACAGTCAGCAAATCGTTTCCCTTTTTCTCTGAACGATCACCCCAACTTGAAGCAAACCATATCCCCCAGCCAAGCAACGACTTTAAAGGAAGAAATTGGTAGGGTCTCACCAGAATGGCTTCTAAAACTTGCCTTGGCCAGTGAGGACGGTGCCAACTCCACCTGCCTCGTCTCCAGCCTGAGCGAGGGCTCTCAGGCAGCATTCCTCGGCATTTTAACTTCCTGCTTCCTCTTAGAAACATAAAGGCTCTTTTTAGAAGCAGAATGGGCCAGGAAGGCTTTCCAAGACGACACATCATCGGGCAGTGTTTTTAAGGCAACGAGATGTGCTGGTTCCCTCCTGTTCAGAAACATACTAAAGGGTGTATGGACATGCTCTTAAGTTCTAGGGTCGCGTGCTGTTAGGGCAGCACATTAGGAAAAAAAATTGCCATGCAGTTCACGTGGTGCGCTTCTGCTAGGTGCCAGACCTCATCACCGAAACAAACGAGTTGTGTGCTTGTGGACTTGGGTTCACCTAGAACACAGATTTGGGTAACTAGTCGGCCCAGTGGAGACATGGGCTACAAGTGCTCTGATTATGTGGTTCGTTAGGCACTGCCTTCCAAATAACACCTTTTCTTCCAACACCACCACTCTTCCCTTGTGCTTACTGTACCAATCTGTAGTGAACATTTTTACACACCCCCTCCACATCCCCCCTCCCATCAGAGTCTCTTATAAGTGTGACCAGCTTTGTCTTTCTCCCAAGCCTCATCAGTAGCCCCTCCATACAGTATCAAAGTCTCTTTCCAGCGCCCGCCCACCACACACACACACACACAGTGCCCAGGAAACATGGTAGGCATGGGCTTACTTAGAAACCCATATGAAACTGTTTCCAACAGACTAGTAAGGAAACAAGCAAACCCTTGCTTAGTGGGTAAGCACCCCTTCCAAGGCCCAATGTCACGGCTCAAAACAAAGAAAGAGAAGGCAAGCTTTTAAAACAGGCATTTCTTTTTTTGGTAGCTTTCAGTGTGTTTCGTCCTAAGCAACCATTGTCCTCCAGGACAGGTACTGAATAACTGGACATGACACTCAGCCAGCAAAACTTGAGCAGTAGCTTCCAGTAGGACGGATGGAAGCGTAAGGAATTCCATCTGCAAGGCTGTCCCAAAGGTGATGATGGGAAGTCTGAATTATCCTTAAAAGGTCAACTATTCCTTTCGGATTCTCCACAAGAATAGGTGCCCCATTGTTTTTTTAATCCTGAAAATAGACTGGAAGCACATTATAGAGTTGAAAGAAAAGGATTCCCTGTATTTTCAGTTCCTATCTGTACCATGTAC